ATGGCTCGACGCGCTCGCGCCGGGCGGCGGGCTAAGCGCCGTCCTCGCCATCCACGCGCCGCGCCGTGAGTTGGTAGAGATGTGGGCTGTGCCGGCGGGCGTCCGGCTGCGCGCGATCGCGACCGGCCCCGGCTGCCGGCTGCTTGCGCCGGCTCCGCCGCTGGCGCAGGCGGAGGAGGGAGGCGCTCCGCTCCGGTGCTACCTCCTGCAGCCGTCGGGCGCGCTGAGCCGCCTCGAGCCCACCGAGACTTGTGACACTTGAGTGGTCTTCAGATTTCACGCTGTGTGTGCTTTTCTCTATTGCTAAACTGTTACTCTCTTGAGTCAGTGACAGTGTGAGTCTCCGTGTGCATCTATACGTTCACTACACACTAGTCTCTATCGCGAGAGTTTTGCACAAGTCGGAGCTCGAGGACCACGATCGCAAAATTTACCGGTATAGGGGTAAAGGGTGTGGATGCTGGGTTCAACAATATCGGGGGACGCGACCCACCTCGCCGTCCCGCGCCTCGCCGCTATGACGGCGACACGGCCGCAGCTCGTGTGCGTGTGGCCGTCTTTGTCCGGAGTGAAAAGTCCAACGCGCTCGTCGGTGACGGTGTCCCCCGATTTCGCCGCGCTCGGCGAACCTCGACAGCGCTTTCGGTGGCATGCAGCTCTTTGCGACCCAGAAGCCTGGAGAGCAGCTCCTCTGCTGCTCACCACACTCTGCACAGCTGACACAGCCTACTGTGCGGCTGCCACAGCTGTGACAGCGATGGGCTCGCCCTCACTGGCCCTCAGTCACTTGTGCTGCGGCTTGTGTGAGCGACACTGCTCGGCGACTGCCGGCACACTGTTCGGAGATAGCCGCGCAGCGGCTATGTAGGTTATCCTTCAACGTGAGGAGAGGGGGACAGCAAGCATAACAAAACGTGCGATCCATCCAAATCGCCGAAACGCCGAAAGCACGCGTCGCCGTCGGCTCGCAGCTTCGGGCTGCTTGCTCAACCCCATCGTCCGAGTCGTGCGCAATCTCGCGTGATGACATCTCGCCCTGATCCCACGCCAGTGGGACAGGCGCATCATATCGTCGACGATGGGCCTTTCGAGCCGACGTTCCGCCGCAGCCACCCAGACGTTCCGTCACAATGCCGCCGCATGCCGCCGCAATGTCGATTGCAATGCAGGCAGCGCAGGAACCGTACTGGTGCGGCATGGAAGAGGCCGGCCCACATGGGCAGACCTCCACTGGGGCCACGTGCAAGACAGTATGCAACGTGACGCCCAGAGAGACAGCTCCCCAACCCGCCGCCGCCAAGGCATTGGGCCTGAGGTGGAGCTGTCCGAGGACGGATGACCGAGTCCTCCAGAGGCAAGCCAGAGGCATGCCAATAGCAAGCCAAAGGTAAGCTGCTGGCGCCCACAGTTGGCGACCTCAGTGTCGACCACAAGGGGCGAGATCACGACGTGGCGTCCCGACACAAGGGTGCCGACCGGGCGAGAACGCCAGGCGAGCCCCACAGTGGCGTCCATGGTGTGAGGCCAAGGCCGCGCCATGGCGTCCACACAGTCGGGCGTCCACAATGTGTGACGACCCCATCGTGGCGAACACAAAGAGGCGACCGCTGTGGCGACCAGCGGTACGCCAAAGGGTGCTAGAGGCGTGTCTGGGTAAGCCGAGGCTTGACAGCCACCTTCGAGGCCTCGTGGCCACCTGTGAGGCTTGTGAGCCATCTCGAGCGAGCCTACATGGGCGGTGGGCGCGAGGAGGCAATGGACCTCTGACGCATCACAGCGCTCGAGATGACAAGCGTGGCGGAGCTGAGCAGCGCAGCCTGTACAGGCGCTCGCACTGCCAGCCCGCCCTGCCCTCGCCCCGCCCCCCCGCCCGCCCGCCGGTGGCGGGCCCGTCCTGGCTGTTCCCTTGCAGGAATTGGCACTGGACGAGAGCTGGGGTGGCGTGAACGTGACATACCTGAGCTGGGGCGGCGTGAACCTAACAAGGTGCACCCAGTTACCGCTGAGCCGCGAGGCGAAGGCAACATGTTCTGGGGTGGGGGCAGGGTCGACCGGGCTCCCCACACCAGACATGGGTACCAAGGTGCACCGCATCCCCTGCTGCTCCTCTGATTTTCGGGGATTTGTCCCGGCCGGTTCCCCCAGTCTCTCGACCATGAGAGGAAAGACGTCCGGCGGGCCACATGCGATGGGATCGATGTGCGATTGGAGCAGCAACTACACGCCCGGGGCAGCTACGGCCGCCACCTCCTACCGGGCGGCGACCCCAATTTGTCGATGGGCCTTTATGAGACAACCTGGGACTCTCCACTCCGGCAGCCGGCGCGATGGGCCTGTTTGAGCGCCGACGCCGGGGTCGTGTGGCGATGTGCCTCGGGAGCTCCAGACGCAGCTCTCGGGGCACGCCAACCCAGGAGATTTAAAGGACCAATCAACAAATACAACCAACGATCAGCTGGAGAACTCGGACGCGATGGATAATCGGAGATAGCCGCGCAGCGGCTATGTAGGTTATCCAACAACGTGAGGAGAGGGGGACAGCAAGCATAACAAAACGTGCGATCCATCCAAATCGCCGAAACGCCGAAAGCACGCGTCGCCGTCGGCTCGCAGCTTCGGGCTGCTTGCTCAACCCCATCGTCCGAGTCGTGCGCAATCTCGCGTGACCCACCCTCCTCTTCCCTTGCACGCGAGTGTTCTCTGATTGTATGTGTGGACAGGGAGTGTCCTGTCCTCACGGCGTCGGCGCATGTGTGTGTGTGGTTCCCAGTGTGGGGCCTGTTTGAGCGCCGACGCCGGGGTCGTGTGGCGATGTGCCTCGGGAGCTCCAGACGCAGCTCTCGGGGCACGCCAACCCAGGAGATTTAAAGGACCAATCAACAAATACAACCAACGATCAGCTGGAGAACTCGGACGCGATGGATAAGAGACCATGGGTGTGAGGTTAAACCACGCTACCAGCGCTTGGTCACATCGCGCAGCCCTGAGGTCATATCCTTTCTCCTCTGTTGATGGTAACACTTGTCTACTCGCTGGAGCCGAGCAGGAGGGCTTGGCGCACAACCCCTGTTCAACTCACCCTCCACACCCCGTAAAGAGCCGTGTACTCTAAAGCCGTACCGACACATCATTTATTTTTGTAAAATATATGCAATATGGCGCACACTATATGAATTTTGCCGCGCACCACATTGTGTACGGAGGAACGGTGTGCGCCCTCATTCGACCTCTTGTGAGTCGTCAGAGTACCTGAGTCCGAGACAGTCGCTACTCCAAGCCCTCCCCAAAGCCCTCGGGCGCCTCGTCGCTCAAGAGCTTCTCGAAGAGGGCGTCTGCCGCTGCCGCCTGCTCGGCGGTCGGAGGGACCGGCTCGCGGTCCGGCGGCGGCTCCCGCTCGAGGTTCGACGCCCATTCTTCCACCGGCTCTCCTGCTGTGCGGCGCCGCGCCCGTTCCCTGAAGGCTTCGACGCCCTCGCGCGTGACGGGCTGCGGCGGTGGCGGTGGCGGACTCGGCGGCTGCGACCTGCACGCCGTGCCGCGATCCGAAGTTGAGATCAGCCGAGGTCAGCCGAGGTCAGCCGAGATCAGGTGCCGCGTTCACTTTGCGTAAGCAGCGTTGATGATGTCGTCGCTCGGACAGTCCTCCTCATCGTCCTCGCTGGCGGCCAGCGTGGGCGTAGCAGACCTCGTGCGTTTGGCGCTGGCGGGCGAGAAAGGAAGGACCAGTGCATGCGTGCTGAGCACAAGCAGGATGGCAAAGAGGATTCGCATGGGATCACGGCCCGCGACAGCGAGCAGCAGCGTGGATGCCCGGAAGAATACTCGAACAGATGATGCGTCGAGGTTTTCTTCTTTTTTCACCGATCTTCAACTGAGCCCCCCCGGGGGACCATCGGTGCCTGCAGAGCGAGGGAAGAGGCGCTCGGACACACGTGAACGAAACGGAGGCGCCTGTTCTTTTTTGGTGAGAATGCGCTGAAAAATAGAAAACATATCTTTCGCTCGTTCACCGCCAAAACGGGCGCCTTGCGCCGATGCGCAAAAAAAACGCCCGGGGGCGGCATGGTTGCTGCCGTATTCACCGAGAGCTCCCTCTCCCTCGTGCAGCTCGAGCAGACGGTGCTGCGAGAGCTGGTGCGGCTCGCGGAGCGGAACGCCGCGCAGCCGCTCTCGCTTGCTGAGCTGCAGTCGGCGGCGCCGCTCCTCCGCCGCAAGCTGCGCCAGCACAGCGAGGCCGTGGAGGAGCTGTCGGAGCTCGCCCGTGCTCACGAGATCCCCGCGGACCAGGCGGAGGCCGGCGCCCGCGTCGCGCGCCATCAGGCGGAGGGCGGCCGGCTCGCAGACTCGCTGCGGGAGCTCGGCACGCGTGTACAGGCGCAGCGGCCGCAGCAGGAGGCAGCGGCCCGCGCCGAGCTGCTGATGGGCGGGCGGGGTGGCGGGGACGGCGCGCTCGACCAGGGCGGCACGGGCCGGCCAGAGGGGCTGGGGGACCGCGTCGCCGTCGCCTCGGCGCGCGACACGACGGAGACGCTGAGCCGGACGCAGAAGCTCATGGCGGAGGAGCTGCAGCGGTCGGACGCGACGCTGCGCTCACTCAACACGCAGAGCAGATCGATGCAGGACACGCTGCAGGAGCACCGCGCCATCGTCGGCTCGCTCAACGCCTCGCGCCGCGCACTCGCCCGTCTCAAGCGGCGCGACTTCACCGACCGCATCCTGCTGGCAGCCGGCCTCTTCTTCTACTGCCTCGTCGTGCTCTACATTGTAAAGCGGCGGCTAGGCTTCGCAGGATGGCGCCTCTTCTCGCTCTTCGGGGCTCCTCCCGGCCCCGACTTGCACGCGGACACGGCTCACGCCGCCGACGACGCCTGCCAAGTACCCGAGGGTCTGGACCGAGTCGGTGCCTGCATCAGCGAGTAAAGACTTTAGTGCTCTATTCTTCGTCCCTGAAGGCGACACACTAGGGTGCCCACAGGACCCAAAAGTAAATAGCTTTGCGCCTCAAAAGTGGGATGCACGAGGCAAATCTGATGCGAACGTCTTGAGAGTTGAGTGATGTTGGAGTGTTCCAATAGGACTTAGGAGCGAGGCCTCACTTCCGTTGCGGGGGACCGAGTGAATAGGAACCGAGGGTTCCCCATTGTGAGCCGCTCCAGAGCGCGAGCGTGACACTGCACTTGCCAGTGTTGGCGCCGAGCGCCCGCGGCACAGACCTTGTGCAGGCCGACCCTCATTGCGTTGCCGTTGGGCACGCCGGTCCGG